ATATTATATTACGTTTATTTAATTGATCCGTAAGATATATTTGATTAGATGGAACCACTCTTTTTTTAAGCTGAATAACGGTAAATTGCACATATCTCGAAAACGTATCCATACAAAAATAAATTAACTCGATTTTCGGAATCAGCGAGCGGTTCTACATACAAATTGGATAGTGGCGTCTGGAGAACAAAACCAGAATTAAAATTTGTGATCCAGTGTTATCAGAGAGATAAATATTTTAAAGTCTTCAAAGACTTTTATTTTGAGACTTATATTATACAAGTTTTTTCAAAATAATTATCATTGAGATAAATATTTTTAAGTCTTCAAAGACCTTTATTTTGAGACTTATATTATGTCTTTTCATAATAATTACACTGTGAGACAAATGGTAGGGGTCAGTGATCGGGAAGGGTTCAAACTACCGGGGAAAGTTATATCGGTAAAAAAGAAGTTATACGTGTCCCGGCGTTTCGCTGGGTCACGTCTAGGAATCGAGATATATCGATTTGAAGTTAGTAACTATCATATAGGGGAAATTGTCACCTTTGGTGGTCTTTTTTTGACATAACTCGAGAACCACTAGTCCGATTTTGCTCAAACCAATTTAAAAAAATTAAAAATTACAATTCCTTTAATCTGTTCATAAAACGTTTTTCTATATAATCAACAGTTTTGCCGGTAAAAATAAATGTATGAAGAAAAAAAATATTTTTTGCCTAAAATATTAAATTTTTTTATTTTTTAAATTCATAAAAAATCCAAAACGGAAAAAAGGCAAGTGGTATTACTTTCACGCAAAGTCACATAACCTTTAAGCAAAATGGGACATAGATCATGAAAATCGATGGACGCGTTTCGCTTTTATTCACAATTAAGTGAACGTATCTCATTTTGACAAGAATATTGATTTTATGTTTCAATGAATTTGGATAATATTTATTATATATTATTTATTATTAACACGTAAAATTAAAAATTATTACAGGTAATTATTAGGTTATTACATAGATACATAGGTTATAAAAATCGATGAACGCAAAACTTATTTTCGTTTGTTTTAGGCAAAAAATATATTTTTTCATCATACATTTATTTTTACCGGCAAAACTGTTGATTATATAGAAAAACGTTATATGAACAGATTAAAGGAATTGTAATTTTTAATTTTTTTAAAATCGGTCTAGTGGTTCTCGAGTTATGTCAAAAAAAAGACCACCAAAGGTGACAATTTCCCCTATATGATAGTTACTAACTTCAAATCGATATATCTCGATTCCTAGACGTGACCCAGCGAAACGCCGGGCCACGTATAACTTGTTTTTGACCGATATAACATCTCCCGTTGGTTTCATCCCATTTCGATTTTGACTGTCGCATAGTGTTATGAGTGGGAAAACTTTTTTAAATCCTAAAAGACGGGGCTTGTTCAGGACCATTTCGGAATTAGTTGGGGACCAGTTCGGGGCTCAGTTTGGAACTAGTTGGGGAGTAGTTTGGGTCCATTTGGAGCTTAGTTTGGGACCAGTTCGGTATTATATATGTAATATAATCCCAAACTTCTCCCCGACAAGTTCCAAACTGGTCCCGAACAGGTGCCCTGAACAAGCCCCGTCCTTCAAGACTTAAAACATTTTTCGCACTTATAATTATTATGAAAAGACTTATAATATAAGTCTCAAAATAAGTCTTTGACGACTTAAAAACATCTATCTCAATGATAATTATTCTGCCTTATCCTGAGTTTCGCCTGAAAGAAAATTCGCTCGAAAATTTGTCATCCGCCCATAGTAAAACCATGGAAACCAAAAGTGAAAAGTGAACCGGTTCGGGGAAAATTTAACTCATGATAACGCTGATTATGACAAGACTTTTATAATATAAGCCTCAACATAAAAGTCTTTAAAGGCCTAAAAATATTTATCCCGCTGATAATTATTATGAAAAGGATTTTATTATTTAAGTCCGCTTTACTTATTGAAAAATTAATATTTCCTAAGTCTGAACGCTCTTATGATTTAATTGTACCTCAGTTTAACTATAGAAACTCTACTAGGCTATGAGAGTGTGGAACTCTATTCCTTCCACTATTAGAAGCAAAATCAACAAAAGCAACTACAAGAATGTGTTGTATACACGTGTGATCAGCTAATTAAGCCAGCAACATTTTGATCAATTTTGGCTATTTTTCATTAGTTTATCTAATGTTTCAGCTAGATTTTTTTGAGTATGCAGTTTGATAGCCCATTAAATTCTAGGGTAATAATGTGCAAGTCTTAAGTTGTTAAAAAATCGCGTTGATTTTTGATAATTTTTTTAGTTATCGATGACTTAAAATTTTTTCTCACTCATAATTATTACCAAAAGACTTTTCTAATTCTTACGAAAATTTAGATGACTTTTTTAAAACTCCACCATGAAATAATTACACTTGTTTACAGCAAAAATGTTCAATGGATGCCACTATCCCTTACTACGCAGAATTCTCCTTTCTGTGTTGCCGGAGAAGTGGGGCTGAACTTCTTTCTGAGTAGGCGGCCTTCAGCCACGTACACCTGAGTAACACGCATTTCTGCTCATATTTCATACAACAAATCTTTGCGCATTTTCATATGAGCACTGATTATATCTTATTGTTACGATTATCCTCGAAACCTTGAGGGATTACCCAAATATACT